CTGAAACTACCTAGCCTGTCTCTTCCTGGGCCCTGCCACCCTGGCTGGCAAGGTAAGGGATCTTCACATTCAGCAGTAACAAAAAATATAGCAAGCTAAAGTTTAGAGGCCATGCTTATCAAGTTTGCTTATCACTTTCAATGTGGAGAAATGTATGGTATTACACTTCTACAGAAAAGAAAATTCACAGATATAGGATGAGTAACACTTGGCTTGAAAAACAGTACATGTGAAAGGGATCTAGGAGTCTTAGTAGACCACAAGCTGAACATGAGTCAATGGTGTGATGTGGCAGCTAAAAAATAAATTAAATTCTAGGCCAGACAATAGTGTGTGGATCGAGGGAAATAATAGTCCCACTGTATTCTGCTTTGATCAAACCTCACCTGGAACATTGTGTACAAATATGTAGACCACAATTCAAGAAAGATAATTTTGAGCTGGAGAAGAGAAATGAAAATATAACAGATTCATTCTTGGGAGAACCAAATCACCAGCACTAATAGCGCTGCTACAGAATCTGCTCTAGCCATATTGCTCTAGCCAAGCTTGTTTTCTGCTCCTCTAAAGACACTGCAGATTTAATGTAGTTTGACACTACTTTAACTTCAATTTCTCAATGATATGGAATCATGAAAGTTGCAGTTTTACAAGGTCTTTAGCCTTCTCTGCCAAAGAGTGCTGGTACCTACAAATTCCAGGTTCAATAGCATTAAGCTTAGCACAGCAGGAAGAATCCTGCTGATCGGAAGGTATGTGTATTAATGTTCCAAACAGTACTTGTTTTGCTTATTTGATATGAATACTGCCTTTTCTTCTTTCTTAAGAATAATTTACATTTTATAGGTTTTATACAGGGAGTCAATATAGTGATGACATTTGCTTTTGTGAGAATAATTTGTTTTTGTTGTTAATTTCTCAGATATCTCCTAGTTCTTTGGCTATTATTTCCACTATTTTATTGTTCTCTAATATTGCATTGCTTATCTTCCAGTTCTTGTATGTTTGATAATCCTTCTTTATTTGGAGATCCAAGCTTATTAATGCATGATCTGAGCATTTTATTACCCCTATTCTGATATCTAGTACCTTGGGTAGTACCTCTTGGGAAACAAAGAAGTAATCAATCCTAGAAAAAATTTGATGGGCTGTCAAATGGAACGTAAATCTTTTCTCATTTCCCTTTAAGATTCTCCGCCAACTTTTTATTTCTTATTATTCTACATAAAGTTGTTCTATTTTGCGTTTTCCCTTTCCCTTTTTGTGTGTGATGTGATTTATCCATTTCCTCCTCCATTATTCCATTAAAATCCCCTCCTAAGATCAAGTATCCTTTTTGTATTCCCTCTATTTCTTTAAATATTGTTTCATAAAATTCTGCTTGGTTAGTATTTGGAGCATATACGTTGGCTAAAGTAAAATCCACATTTCCCATTGTTCCTTGTATAATTATATAGCTTCCTTGTTCATCTATCTTTGTTTCCTTTTTATTGAAACCACATTGATTTTGAATTATAATTGCCATACCCCTCAGTTTATATGTGCTATATGATTTTATATATGTTATAGAACCGCACATCTTAAGCTCATTCACCCCTGGTTTGGATTGATGGGTCTCTTGTAAGAATGCAAAATTAGCTTTATCTTTATAAATCAAAACTGCAATGGTTTTCCTTTTAAAGACTGAGCCCAAACGTTTACAATTCAAAGATATAATCATCAAGTGTTCTTCCATTTCTTTACCATTCTACTTTTACTCCTACTTGGCTGGTCTCTAATTTGTGCTCTCCCCTGTTTTACCTCCCTCTTCATCCCTTCCCACCCTTCCCTTGTGAACTGCACTTCTCCCCCATTCATTCCCCCCCCCCCACTATGTTCAGAGACTACTTGTCTCGAACCTGGTTTACTCCGAATCTCTTTGTGGGGTGGGGGGAGGGGAGCCATTCTCCATCTGAATGCGCCCATCCCAGTATCTCCCAGGGTATTCTTAGAATGCTTTAATTAGTAGAATTTGAATATTTTATAAATAGTTAGTCAATCCTTCTCACAGTCTCTTTCCTTCATGTCTTAGTTCATATTAGTCTTCTCCTCCTGTCACTAAATCCCTTTTCCCCTTCTTCTCCCCTCTCTTCTTCTCTGTCAATGTTGCATCTGTTGTCTCAGTTGTCAAGTTCAGTTCCTTCAGCAAAGTTAGACCTTGATCTAGAGACGTGATCTTATAGTTATTGTTTCTCCAGTGAAACCTCAAGAAAACTGGATAGCCCCGATTCTACTAGATTTTTCTGGCTTTGTAAAATGGTGCTACATTGGCGAATGGACTTCTGCCACTCCAAATTTTCAGAGCACAGGTCTGAAAAAATCTGTATTGGTGTGTTCTGATATTTTAGTGAAGATGCCTGCCTTCATAGTGCTTTCATTATTTTGTTTTTGTAATAAAAATTCCCAAATCTAACCTAAGGTGTTGCGAGGAAAAGGGGTGGCCCTCTAATATCCCACTCTATGGATTCTTTCAAAATAGGCTTCCTCATAATCTGTTTCGGAGTTCTGTTTAAGCCATTTCATGATTTCTCTTTTTAACATCCCAGGATTTTCTCCATTTATCTCTGGGAAATTTCTAATTCGAATGTTCATTCTTCTATCACTGTCCATTACATTTATCACCCTCAAGTCCATCTTTTGAAGGCTTTTTTGATATTGTTTTATGTCTGCTGCATTTACCACCGATTGTACTTCTACAGCTGCTACTCTTAAATTCAAATCTTGGTTTTTCTTTTACAGTTCCTGTGAAGTAGTTTGTAGATTTTTTTATTTGATGTTTTAGCCCGGTGATCTTAGTTGTTATTTCTTGAGTACCGTTTAAGATAATATGTTTGATCCCTTGAATCTGCTGTAATAATTCTTTATTCACAATTTCTTCAAGTTCATCCCTTCCTCCATTTTGTGCCATCGCCATTGTGTCCTTAGATTTATGGCTCCTTCCCTGAGATGAGCAATCAGCGAGATTCTCGACAGATGCTGTCTCCGGTGCTCTTTCCCAGCTTCTGTGTGTGTGTGTGTGTGTGGGGGGGGGGGGGGGGGGTCGTAGATAATAATGAATTTGTTTTTGCCTTCCCCTTGCTCTCTGTTTGGGATGGTTTTTACCCCCTTACTTCATAAATCTTTACTCTTTCTACTCTTCACTAGTTTACTGATCTTGGTTTTGTCTTGTCGCCATTAAAGGATGCTTAGCAGTCTGGGGAGCGAAACCGAAAGTGATTTATCGTAGCTTTATTATCTTCTCCTTCCTAACATCAAGGATATTTATGGGCGGATTAACAACTCACCCAGTCAAAAA